TCTTTTTCTCAGAGATACACTGACTGGCCATCAGTTCCTTTCCAGTCCTCTTCCACTGATATAAACAACCCCGCAGAGTTTGTGGCAAAAAGAAATGTAGGTCATAAGAAAAAAAGAAAAAGAGAAGAAAGGAGAAGGAGAAGGAGATGGAGAAGGAGAAGGAGAAGAGGAAAAGGAAGGGGAAGGGGAAAGGGAACAGGAAGGGGAAGGAGAATGGGAAGGGGAAAATAAAGAGAACGAAAAAAAAAGAAAGATGCTTAATAGTGAGAACAGGCAGTTGGCTAAGTGCACTTTCAGTCCATGAATACATTTCAGCACTTCTGCATAAAGGGAGTAAGCTTTTTTTCTTATTGTTGTTGTTTCTTCTGTGTTTAACTGACCAGAAATGCTTGCCTATGCTACATGATGTTAATTCCTATATTCCAAGCATATTTAGATCCTTTGAGGTACGCTATAAATGGGCAAAACAATATTCAGACTCCCCAGGCCATCTTGAGCCCTTATGATCCACCCTAACAAAAATAGATAGATAGATAGATAGATAGATAGATAGATAGATAGATAGATACTGCATGTAGCACTTTTCTCTCTGCATACACAGAATTATTGTAATTCTGGTCATTAAACATAGGTATGTATAACCAACTACAATAGAAATAGTCAAAGTGAGGCTTCATGTTCCAGATACTTCTTTCTCATCTTCAGTCCAATAGCACTTTATTTTTGCTGTTGCACAATTTATTATTGCTGTTTAGTTGGTTGATTTTATTATAAGTTGAGTGCAGCACTCAAGTCCATTTTGACTTGAGAAGTCATATACTAGAGTACAAGAGTTTAGGAAGATCAGGACCACCAGATTTTAGTGAGGAGAGAGGTATACAATGGTCAGAGGAGTGAGCAGAGAACAAGAAGAAAGCTTTACAACATCTATCTAGAGGAAGTAATGCCCTGTTTTATTTGATAGTTCGCATTTCTTGCAGGAGTTAAAGCTCAGTTTCGAATCACTTTCTCATCATTAAGACTCACAGAAGCCACACAGTGAAAAATAAAGCCAAGTCTTTCTGGAAACCTGTTAGGTCAGGCTTGTGCGTAACTGCAAAGTTAGGGCTCTTTACCACTCTAAGTGCCTTGTTTATGCATATGTGTAACACACACACATGCAGACACACTGTAAGAGATTATTCTTTTACATCACTGTCTCAAAGCTTGCTGAGGACACAGATGAACAAGTCCAAACAAGTCCTGGACAAGGGTTGAGAAATCCGTTGTCAGAGGGACGCAGATGGACAAGGCCAGAGGCAACGAGAGAGAGAGATAAGCCACAGATTAATGGCCAGGAAGCAGTCTTTTGTGTGGACTTATCTCAGGGGAGATGGCCATCTCAGGGGGTACTGCACATGACTCTTACCCAAGCACCCAGGAATGCCACGATGGCAGAAGAAGTATAAAAAGGGGACCAACAACCATGAAGTTAGGTTTCTGACAACAGATTCCTCACAACCTGAGACCTGCATGCTGAAGAAGAACAAGAAGGTGTCTGATACCCGAAGCCTCACGAGCTGATGCCTGCATGCTGACGGACTCTCCTGGGCCTGCTACCTGAAAGCTGCTGCTTCCTCCTGGACTTACCCTGTGGCTTCTTCCTGCTACCTGCTTGCTGCCCAAGGACAGCCACACTGCTGCTGCTTTCCCCCTGCGCTTTTGCCTCGGACCATAGGAACGGGATGCTGCTGGATCCTGCTGAGGACTACCCCAGCTCTACCCAATTTTTGCTTCTTTCCTATCTTTTCTTTCACCCTCTTTCCCTTCCCCATCTCCCTGATTAAGATTTGCAAAAAATTGGTCAGACCAACGTTTGAACCATTGCTTCTTAATCTCACACCAGGTATACATATGTCAAAGAACCTCCTCTCCTTTCTATATACTGGAGTGAGACACACATGTACATATTAATACACATATATACATATATCATGAACATAAGAGAAAAAATGTTCTGTACAGTGTGGAAGGAGAAATGTTCAACAGCAGTTGGCCACATGCTAAGTGCAAAATGAAGATACTCAATGTATTACATTTAGAAAATAAAGATTAGTGCCTACCTTAGCTTTGATCAAAGATTATGATCACCCAGGGCCTAGCAGTCAAGGCTGGCACATTGCAGAACATACCTTCTCCTAGCTTTCTTTCCTCCACAAATACCATGGTAGATGTACAGCAAAGTTAGAGAAAATCAAAAAGAATACAGTTTGAAGGATATGTGAAAGGATTTAAGATCTGACGGGAAAGTAAATGGAAGAGGCCTGGATGGGAGAGCACTGGAAAGCTTCTGTTGCCTACAACCTGGGTAATCTAAAGGAAAGAAAAGCAAAGCAGGCAATCTGCTGCCTGGCTATGTGATGTCACAGATAATGCTAATCCTTAGACTCTCCTGTGTTCTGCCATGCTGGGACCAGCTGTCAAAAGCTATCTCGTGGAATCATAGAATCACAGAATCATACAATGGCCTGGGTTGAAAAGGATCACAATGATCATTGAGTTTCAACCCCCCTGCTATGTGCAGGGTCGCCAACCACCAGACCAGGCTGCCCAGAGCCACATCCAGCCTGGCTTTGAATGCCTCCAGAGATGGGGCATCTACAACCTCCTTGGGCAACCTGTTCCAGTGTGTCAACACTCTGTGTGAAAAACTTCCTCCTAATATCTAACCTAAACCTCCTGTCTCAGTTTATTTCCTCTTGTCCTATCACTATCCACCCTTGTAAGCAGCTGTTTCCCCTCCTGTATATAAGCTCCCTTCAAGTACTGGAAGGCCACAATGAGGTCACCTCAGAGCCTTCTGTTCTCCAAGCTAAACAAGCCCAGTTCCCTCAACCTTTCTTCATAGGAGAGGTGCTCCAGCCCTCTGGTCATTTAGTGGCCCTCCTCTGGAACCGTTCCAAGAATTCTGCATCTTTCTTGTGCTGGGGGCTCCTGGCCTGGACGCAGTACTGCAGATGGTGCCTCACAAGAGCTGAGTAGAGGGGGACAATCACCTCCCTCTCCCTGCTGGCCACCCCTTTTTTAATGCAGCCCAGAACACAGCTGGCCTTCTGGGCTGCAAGCGCACACTGCTGGCTCATGTCCAGCTTCTCATCCACCAAGACCCTCAAGTCCCTCTCTGCAGGGCTGCTCTCAAGGGCAGATACAGTGAAGGCAGTGATATCCCTATAAGCAACCTAGAGAAACTTTAAGTCTTACATAAACACAGCTGCAACTTATTTGGCAAAAGAAAATGCTAAGCCTTGCAACAGTGAGTGGCAAGGGAAAGACGTTATCTCACAGGGTGCTGGTTTTCTTTGCCTGCCTCTTCTGGATTGCTCTCACTCATGGCTGCTCTTTCCTTCCTTCTCTATATCTTTCTGTGCTAAGCCAAGAGGCAGTGCAGAACTATTCTTCCAGTGTGTTGGTCCTTGCCCTTTCTTTACCTCTGATCAGCTCAATTCCTGGAGGCACTTTCAGCAGTTTAGAGGATAGAAGATAAAGGCACTGCACAACTACTTAAATCAATCAGTTAAGTCTCTTCAGTGAGTTTTAGGGGAATACAAAAAATTTCAAATGACTGAAAAACAAAACAAAACAAAACAAACAGCTCCTGCAATTTGGATGCATATAGTAGGTAAGTTTCATTTACATTCTGAGAATGCACCAAAAAGCATGCATCTACATCTTTCAAATATAAAGTATACTAGGTTTTAGGTGCTGCTATATATAACTTGTCTTCTTAGTTTTCCATATAGCTTTCCCTTTAAGAGATGGGATATATCCCTTTCTGACAATGCCTGGACAAAAGCCAACATGGTTTCCTGAGCAGTGCAGGAAACAGGTTTCCCTAATCTTCCATTCAGGCCTTTGATCTATTAAGCACTTTTTAATTTTTGGTTTTTTTTTTTTTTTTTTTAAATGATTATTATTGAATTCATGCATTAATTAAAGTTACACGTTATTCAAATAGGCCATAATGCTGAATATTTGAACATGCTTTGATCTCCAAAAGTTATTGTTCCCATTTGACTAACATACACTTTAAAGTACTAGTCAACAATTTAGTAAGTTAAGTAGTGCACTTCTGGTGAATGCAACCCAAAATAAAGAAAAAAGGAAAAAAAAACAAGAGAGATAAAGGACCTATTTTTAGAAGATTCATTTCAAACAAAAGCTTATCCATTATTGTCTAAGGTAAAGTTTCAGGCATGCGATTATAAAATAAATAGCATCAATTTCAAACATGCTTATATTAAACTATATTGTGCTGTCTTGCAACAGAAGAACTAGAAGTTTTGTATACAGTTCTGGATAGGGAAAAGTGCATTAAGATCATCTGTGCATGAGAGAACTTAGCAGCAGTGCAAATGTTTTGCCTTCAATTCTGTTTGCTATTTTTAAATAATTATTCTATGGATAGAAAAAAGACCAGCCTTAAGTGTATTTAAATAAGGTGCTGATGTGTAGGTAGGAACTATGTACTCTCTCACATAGGGTGCGGAAGGAAAATTTGCATCCCTTCATAAAAACAGTGGTAAACGTTTGCTGCATGTTAGTACTTTTTTTACTATTATCTGATTCACTCCCTTGCAACTGTGCATGTTTGCAGGATATTTTAACTGGAATCCATGCATACGCTTCAGTTTTAAAAATTGTCTTCCTTAGTTGAACTTAAGTGTGTCAAAAAAAAAAAAAAAAAAAAAAAAGTGGATGGAACAGGAAAAGTTTAGGTCTAGCATAATTCAGTTTAAAACCTAACTAGTTCAAATAATTATCATTTACCAGATGGAAAATATGGGGTTTTTGAAGGTAAACAAAATTTTATCATTCATGGATCCTGGAAGCCTCTTTATCTCTGAACAAAAACTCACAATGCAACAATGCATTTACGAGGTAAATAAAGCATTCAAAGACTATCAGTGAAGCATCTACAAAGTGTGACTATGTCACTTAAGTCTTCAAGCTGTGAGTGGGGATTTTGGTCTTTTGTTTATACATCAGTCAGCAGCTTGCTTTTATTAACACAGTTTTGGTTGGCTACAGTGCAGTTGCCAGTTCTGAGATTAGCCTCCCTAAAATTGTCTATGCTATTATTCATATCCTCTTCGATTTCCATATACTCAGATTTGCTGATAGTGGAAGAGCTGCGGCGACTGAGATCACTGTCAGATGCTAAATTTGGGGAGCTAACATGAAGTAACTGAGCCTGTTCTTCCCCTTCTGTTTCTCGGTGGTAGAAGTAGTTGAAGTTGGACACGATGACAGGTACAGGCAGGGCAATTGTCAGCACACCAGCGATGGCACACAAGGAGCCTACGATTTTGCCTCCAATTGTCACAGGGTACATGTCACCATAGCCCACAGTGGTCATGGATACCACCGCCCACCAGAAAGCATCGGGGATACTTGTGAAATGAGACTCAGGTTCTTCAGCCTCTGCAAAATACACCGCACTAGAGAACAAAATCACCCCAATAAAGAGGAAGAAGATTAGTAAACCTAGCTCTCTCATACTTGCTTTGAGGGTCTGTCCCAGAATCTGGAGGCCCTTGGAGTGCCGGGAGAGTTTGAAGATTCGAAAGACTCTTACCAGTCTGATGACTCTCAGAATGGCCAAGGAGGTGGCCTGCTCTCCCTTCTGAGTCCCTTCCCGCTCAGCCATCTCAGTGCCCAAGGTGATGAAGTAAGGGATGATGGCCACAATGTCAATGAAGTTCATTATATTCTTGAAGAATTCAGTCTTGCTGGGGCAAGCAAAGAAACGTACCACCAGCTCAAAGGAGAACCAGATGATGCATAGGGTCTCTACAACAAAGAAGGGATCTGTGAAGATATTGGATTTGTAGACCTGAGTGGTGTTGTCAGTACGATGCACTGTATACTCCTTGTCCTCCTTCAGCTCAGGTAATGTCTCTAGGCAGAAGATCACAATGGAGATGAGGATCACCATGACAGAGACTATTGCAATGACCCTTGCAGGCCCAGAGCTTTCTGGGTACTCAAAGAGGAGCCATACTTGACGCTGGTACTCTCCCTCCGGCAAGGGTCTCTCCTCATCTTTGATGAACCCTTCATCTTCCCGGAACTTCTCCATGGCTTCCTCACCCAGCTCATAAAATTTTATTTCCTCAGAGAACATGTCCAAGGGAACATTGACCGGCCGGCGAAGCCGTCCCCCAGACTGGTAGTAGTAGAGGATGGCATCAAAGCTGGGCCTGTTTCGATCAAAGAAGTACTCATTGCGCAAAGGGTCGAAGTACCGCATGCGCTTCTTGGGGTTGCCCAGCAGTGTGTTGGGGAACTGGGCTAAGGTCTTTAGCTGTGTCTCAAAGCGTAGTCCAGCAATGTTTATCACTACACGCTCACAGCATTCATGGTCATCATGGGCAGCAGGCTGGTAGCTATCCTGGGGGTGACCAGGTAGCACAGAAGTCTCATCCATGTTCTCTCCAGCCATCACAGTCATTGTGGCACAGAAAATGAGGGACCCAGGCTGAAGTGAGGAGAGGAAAAGAAAAGAGAGGAGAGGAGAGGAGAGGAGAGGAGAGGAGAGGAGAGGAGAGGAGAGGAGAGGAGAGGAGAGGAGAGGAGAGGAGAGGAGAGGAGAGGAGAGGAGAGGAGAGGAGAAAGTGCAAAGGCAGTTCAGTGGAGGATGGTGGGAGGCAGGGTGTGGAGATAGGCTTGGAGACTGCAGGATGAGTGGGAATGTAGAAGCCTGAGGAAGGACTGGAAGAGAAGCCTAAAGCTGGAAATATCCACAAGGGGAAAGAAAAGGTGGGATGCAGGGAGTGGCGTAAGGAATGAAGGGACAGTAAAGAAAGAGAGAAGTACCTTTGGGGGGTGAGGGCAGAGGGCAGGTAAGGTGAGGGATCCTGTCCCCCCAGGCCAGGGTGTATGGGGTGCACCTCCTGGCTGGGGTCCCCTCCCCAGCTGTCTCCTTTCGCCTTTAATTCGATCCGGCCACTTTTCTTGCCAACTTGATCATCACTGTGGATGCTGTTTTGAAGTTACCATACACACACACACACACACAAATAAATTAATAAATAAATCACAAGGTGGCTGGGAAGCAAGTCCTTGCAATGCCAACTCAGCAAATTTCCATTGTCTGCCCCCCCTCCCCCCCGCTTCTCCTTCCCCCCACTGCCCTGGTCCTCTCGTGCACTGGGGAAGAAGAGATGGAGATATTCAGTGTTTAAAGACATAAAGCTCACTTGCAGAATGGAGGCTGCCAAGAGAGAAAGAAGCATCATAAATCAACCCTCAAGCCCCACTACACATACATACTCCACCGCAATGGATTAGCTTTCACATCAGCAAGAATATCCTGCTTTGCTCACTATGGCAGCATATGAAAAGCCTTACACATTCCTGTACATCCCTGAAAGCACAACAGCACCTCCAGGACAGGAAGAGGTCAATATGAACCTGCAGCCTTGCTGTGCTCTTCTTGAGTGCTTCCATGGAGGGCTTACCATGCAACTTCACTGGGATCAGCTCCTGCTGTAAGTTTCCTGACCACCATGCATCCCACTTTGCAGATGGTAGAGACTTAGCCGAGCACTGACAACTTCATCACACAGACTGAAGGGATATGGGGAGAAGGAGTGAAGCATCTCCCCTCTGCTTTGCAGCAGCTAAATGCAACTGAGACGGAGACATAGGAATGAATTTTGACATTCCAGACCCAAACTGTCAAATTAGGGTCCAAGAGCTGGGGAACAGAGGGGGCTTTTCCTTACCTGCTCTGTGTGAGATGCGCTCATTAGGAACAGGAGCCAGTGCCAGAATGCGACAAGCCGTCTTGCAGCACCATCCAAAAGAATCTGAGCAAAACAAAAACCGCAGTGGCAAACTCAACCCTCCTCCTCTTGCACCTTTCTTAATAACACAGCGGTCACCGTACAGCACTGCCTGCAAGACACTTAAATATTCATGCACTCAGGCTGCACCAAGGGTGAGTGGGTTTAAGTAGTTTCTGCTGAAAACCGCAGTGAGGGAGTCGGCGGGTGGAAGAGCGTGCAAAGTGTCTTTTTCCGAAGGCTTGAATTAATAAACAAAAAAAAGGTTGTCCTAAGTATCTGCTGGCTCTCCCGATCTCTCCCTTTAAGACATCTGGAGAAGGAGCCGGGTGCTGGACAGCGTCGGCTAGGGAGTCGTGAGAGATCCGCAGTCCCGCAACCGCATCTCCGGAGTGGCTCTTGGCTCGTCCCAACGGCAGCAGCAGCAGGAGGCAGGAGATGGATGCATGTGGCAAGAGCAAATGGACTGCTGAATACGTAAGAGAGAGGAGCAAACTCGATCCATGTCTTGACGCTGCAGTATCAGCAGAAACCTGAGAGCTGTTTGATGCAGCTCTGGCAGCGGGAGGGGGGAAGTTGCAGAGGAGGGGGGCGGGCACGCTGTCTACCGCACCACACTCCTCCGATTCGCGAGCTGTCCTCCACCGCCAGCGAGGCCTCTGCCGCCGCGGTACACCGAGCGCCGCGCCCCCGACGCAATGCGGGCTGTAGTCCCAGCCTCATGGGCCCGGCCGTTGCGCGCCGGACAGCCTGGCGGGGTGCGGCGGGGCAGCGCGTCTGGGAAGGGGGTAAGAAGCGGGCATCTCCTCTAGGTTTGGAGCGTCATCGCTCCAAAGAAGAAAAGAAAGGCTGGAAATTCAGGCGGCCCGTGCAGGTGCACATATAACACTCCTTCGCCGGGCCGGGCGGGGGGTGTAAAGTGGTGGGGACCGAAGGAAGTGCGCAGCGGCCGATTCTTCTCGGTGGCCAATCTCGGCATTCGCAGAGGAGCAGCGGGATCGGTTCAGAGCTCTGCACGTACTGCACGGAGCCGTTCTGCAGCCACGGCGGGCGGCGGCTGCCCCTGAAGAGTCCGCACTTCCCTGCTGCACGGCCTACCGGATTCGGACCTCGACTCAGGCTGGGGCTCATTACTGTATTATTCTGCCAGAATCGGCCGGCGTTCTCGAGCCGTGTGAGTGGAATGGGGAAGGAAGAGTTAATCAGCAGGCAGTATTAGAGGGAAATTGCCTTTTATGCTGCTTTATCCTACTGAATTCATTTAATTGATGAATCACATAACTTTGAGAGGGAGAAGACCTATTATGTCATCAGCTTCCCTCCTCTGCCAGCGCAGGACTGTTCTCTGCAGTATATGATAATATCCATTATATAAAAGCCTACTGCTCACTTTGTCAAAGCAGGAGTTATGATTAAAAACAACCCTGGCTCATGTAATCTAAAGCATTCTGGAGCTAAGTAACACCAAATCAATGTTTAACTGACCTTGTTTCACTAGGCTTTCACGTTACCTTCAATAAAGATCACTATCTTGACAGCTCAGAAATAGTTAACCACCTGAGATCATGGATAGTTTCTGCCTCCCTCTTATTTATCTCTGTGCTTTGTTTTGGTTGGGAGGGAAGGGGTCAATACTTCTAGAGCACAAATTGTAGTAAAATCCTCTTGTCCTCACTGTACTAACAGCTATTCTGTGTATTGTGTTTACTGACCCCGTTCGAAACAAAAGTGCAAAAGGAAAGATATATATCTGGTATATGCTTTCTCTTCAGTGATTAACACATACACTGAAAATGGTCTGAAAAGCTTCTGATGAAGTTCTTATCTGTCAAACTTGGGCAAAACAATCCAAAAGCTAAATGAAACAGAGACTGTCCTTCCATTGAAAAATTACAGTCACTGATTTTCTGTCTGCTTATTTCCTGGCTCAGCAATCAGCACCCAGCCTTAGACTCAGAAGCACTAGGCCATGCACAAACCACCATCCCACTTCCTATTCCCTGCCACTCCACCAAAAAAAAAAAAAAAAAAAAAAAAAAAAAGTTTTCATTTAGCCTAAGATAACCAAGCAACCAAGCTGCATTTCAGCTTTTTGAGAAACTCAGCTACAGCCTTTGACTCAACATCCTCTAATGGCAGTGAATTCCATGCCTGGATGACACACTGCACAAAGCTAACTGCAAAATATTCAGAGTTCTGTATTCAGTGCTTTGCAGAAATAGCTTTGTATGCTGGCACTCACCCACCTCTGATGCAGTGCTGTATTCTCCTGTACTGATTTAAAGACAGATTCGTATGCTCACAAGTGTGATGAAAATGCAGATCTGACAATCAGAGGGCTGAGTTCAAGATGCTATTCTGCTCTGGGCTTCCTGCATGTTTACAGGAGAGTTTGCCCTTTCTGCTTTTATATCTGAAGAATAGGACTAAAAGCACTTCCTTTGCTTGTCACAACAGCCTAGGATGTTCATTCCTGAGGGCTTGCTTAGCATGGCAAAGCCTGAATTTTCATTGGAAACTGTGATCAAAAAAGAGCAAATTATCAAAAGCTTGAAAGAGGTAGTAGGCAATTTTTTAAAAACATTCAGAGCAGCTGCTTTTTAGAATCCTGCTAGACGCCTTCCTGCTTCCATAGATGCCAAAAAAGCAGTTACTCTTCCTTCCCTTATCTCTTACTGACAGCTCAGCTTTGTGCGGTGTTAGATCTGGAGGTACAGTGCATCACACCTCTCCTACATACACTCTCAGCAATGCTTCCACTTGGATTCTCCCATTCGGCCTGGTTTGGCAGTGTGGATGAGCAGAAGCAGATGGGGAAGCAACAGGTGTTCTGACTTGCACAGGTTGAGGAACCTCACTGCTGTCTTTGGTGGCTGCTGAAGTAACTTTTCACAGGGAACCCAAACTGGTAGGCTCACATGTCAAAGATGGGTTGGCATGGCATAAGCAGAACCTTTTCTGCGATTAGCAGATTCTTGCCCTGTACAGAAAGCTGAAGACTTACTTGTTTTGTTCTGGCAGTCCCTTAATGAGAAAGAACAGATTCGTATTTTCATTTTCCTTTTGAGAGAAGAGAGAAAATAGAATTGTTGATCAAAACTCTTATTACGCTGTGGGGATTAAAGAAAATTTGTATTGAATGACTGTAAATCTGAAGATGAATTTAAAAATAACCATTGATTTTATGCAGTTTTGAAATAGGCTTTAAACACTGCCACTAGGTAATCTGTTTTTACACCAGACTAAGATGAGATGGGACTGTATTGTTGTGGAAGGAGGATGTGGAAACTGCCCTCATTCCCATGTGCCATGACTGGGCAGGTGAGATGGGAAGCATGCTGTTTTAGGACAGAGTTGAGCCTCTAAAGCATCTGCATAATCAGAAAAAAATGAAAGGATAAAATGCTAATCCACCCCACAGTGCCCAAGATGTGCTACAGAAAACAGCAAAAATCTTGTGTGGATGTTCCCATTGGAAGAATATACTTCTGTGTGAACTGTAATTAAAGTCCTTAGCAACAACATTTTTATAATTTTAATATCACTTCCACCTTTGATCTCTTTCATGACTGTACATTTTCTTTCCCAGGGTTTTGTCCAACTGTCTGTTTGCTATTGAGAGAAACTCCTACTCAAACAGTTTGCACTGTTCTGTGGAATGAGGAGAATTTTACTTAGACCTGT